GACGAACTATTATCATAATCCCTATATATAACAAACTATACCCTCTGACCGTTTTACATCGATGGCGAGAATTGGGTGCCTCGCTGTCGCGTGCAGGAGACTCAAGTTGGATTTCCCCGAGTGGGGGGGATTTTTATTGTATACCCAGTATCTCTGTCTTTCTACTAGGATGTTGTATCAATCTCAGCCCGCCATGTAAACGGTCAAAATTGTGTCGATGGGAGCATAAAAACACCACACACACAGACACATAACACATACTGTACACACACATGAACCTGCTAACAAAGTGAACTGTGAAGCCAAGTATATGAAATTAAATTGTACAGCAAAATCTTTAATGAAAGTACCACTAACATTACTAACAACAAACTCACCTCTGCCTAGAGGTAAAATGTAAGAGCACTTACTTTGAAAGACAAATGTACGAACATTCTATGAGGTCATCTTGCATGAATGAATCTGAATATAATTCAATCTTATGTTAATACAAAAAACAAAAATAAAGTGAGAAAAGATATATTCTTAGTTCATGGGGTTTTTTGTTTGTTTGTTTGTTTGTTTGTTTGTTTGTTTGTTGTTTTTTGTTTCCACTGATACAGTGATGAAATAAATTCTCATTGGATTTGGAGCCATCATTGTTATTCAACAAAATTTAGGTAGCCTATATGCTGACTTAGTCACTGGAAAATTAAAGACAAAAGGCAGGGATATTACAAACCACCTCGAGCTAACGTATACAATAGGGCAATTATACCTTTAAAAGTGTGTGTGTGTGTGGGGGGGGGGGGGGGGGGAGGGGAAGAGGGGAATTGAACAGATTGATATCAATGCTCGGATGTAAAATTGTGCAATATGGCTATTATTGCTATGGTGTACCATCCCCTGCTGTCATTTCACTTTTCATTACATTGGCTGGGTCAATAATTGAATTGAGCAAGACAGAATATCCTAATAGCTTATGACACAAAAGTACTGGTAGACATAAATTCTCCCTGAAAGTAGAACAGTGAGAGCATACAGTCAGAAAGATAAGATGGAAACGGATGAAGAGGTTGGCCTTGGAAAATATGGACAGAGGGGGTCAGAAAAACATTAAACAAAAAGCAAAGTGCCAAGCAATACAACAAACAAAAAAAAACGTTTGCTTTTCCCCTCAACACCTTTATGTAACAGAGGCTGGAAAAAGAAAAGGAAGAAAAATAATGAAAATTGAATTACCTTTAAAAAATGACTTTGTGTGTATGTGTGTGTATGTGTGTGTATGTGTGGGTGCATGCGTGTGTGTGTGTGTACATGCATGTGTACATATGTCTGCCTTTTATGCATGTGTATGTTTTCTGTACATGATGTCAAGTCTATGTTAATTCAATTTCAGCTCTTGTCTTTAGTCTGACAGTATCAGAGAACTAAATGGCGAGTTTAACTATAAAGGACTTCTATTCTGATCACTTTAAGCTGGCCAACTTAAATGCTTTGGCATTCTTCAGGAAATGATTAGGCCTTATAATAGACATGAACACTGCAAAATTGACATTTTTTGCTTTTATGAAGGTGTTTTTACCATCAACATAATTTGGAATACTTTGATCATTCAGGAAGAAGGCTGAGTAAAAAAATGTTTTTGGTGCAATATTTTGTCACACACTTGCACTTCAAGTTCACAGCAAGTAAGTCAGCTTGATTTTGGCTTTTACGCCCCAAGTACACTGTAACTCATTCTGTCTTGAGCCATCCGGAAATCAAATCCATGAGTTTCTAGTTTTTGAAAGATGTTTGTTCATCTGATATTGCCACCAAGATTGGTCTGCAATTGGGCGACATATCGAAACCCATAGCAATAAAAAAAAATTGCATCTTTTTAAAACTTCATAGCATAGACCTACAGAATGACATATCCACCCACACCTTTAATGAAATGCACATCACTTGCTACCAGGGTCTTATCCTATAAATTGAAAAGTGATAATCATCCACATTTCCAAAGTCCAAACAGCAAGAACTATGATTCTTACTCGGCCCTACACAGAAATCCATAAAACTGTGGACACTTCAGATGAAGATACCTCTGCACACATGATATGGAGAGGAAAGTATAGGTGAGAAAACCTGCCACTAAAATACAGTGTTTAAATTCATTTTTGTACTTCAACACAATTTAGATTCAGGAGGCTGGTTTTGACCCTGCTCAGAATCAACATACTCCATAACAATTCTCCCCACTCGGGAATCAAACTCAGGTCTCTCGAGTGTGATGCTCAAGCACCTTACTGCTGCACAAGAGATGAAGGTCCGGTTTCTTTAACATAATGAAATGAGAAGCAGAGACTGCTATTTGTGATAACTTCAAACATCTCTGAAGCTATTAAGCTTATTTACAGGAAAATCGCTCAAGGTCACTCAAGGAAAATGTTTTAGGCTGCACCTCGAAAACGCAAGTTTCACAAATTAAAATTTAATCAATAAATCAGTTTTTTGCTGCTCATGAAATATTTTCTAAAAGTGCAGGATGAGTTTTCTAACACTAGGCACTCTTTATGATTTAGATCTAGTGCTAATCTAAAAAGTGTAGGTACGCAGGACCAAGAACGGTTCTACTTTTAAAGACCTCTCAGACACCATGCAGGCCAAGGTGTCCTCATAATTTCACTTTCAAAATATAATTTCTAATGGGCGTTAAGGCAAGTAATTTTGACACTTTCAAGTGAATAAAAAATACGTACACTACTTCAAATAAACAATACAAAATGTACTTGATTTCAGGAAACCTTTACACCCAAAATAGAGGTGTTTAGACCATATTGAATCTTGGGCCTGGAATGGTTAAGATTTGCAGCTGATTCTGACAAATTGGAGCCCACCTGCCTAGCTAGACCCCACCATTCCAATATATGCTGAATACTTCTGGCAGAGACATCAATATTTGAGTGCTCTTTCCTGAGAAACACAAATGATTTTTAGATTTGAAAATTTGACATTTATTGGATGTTGGCTTGACTTGTGCAAAAACCAAAGAAACCGACAGGATGATAAGCCTTTGATCTTAAATGTACATCACTACACAACATGCCATGCATCACAGCTGATTGTTTCAAGTTTCCAACTTGATCCGTTTTTTTTTTTTTTAATTCACACATTGGCCAGAACGCACAGGCACAAAAAATTGTTAACACCTTGTGAAACTAATATTGGACTTGCTGCTGGCTAATGTTGTTTTTAGCGCAAAGTATTACCGAGCAACTACAAGGGCTCAGTGCACAGAGGGTGATTCAGTTAGCTGCCTGTGACTGTGACGTGGTGACATGGCCTGTCGCAGCCCTATGATTTCCCTCCATTTATTTTCTTTTCAAATCATTTTCATGGTGTTTTCCCCATCAGGAAATCTGAAAATGAAATTCCTGGCTTTTTCCCTTTTCTCATTTGAATGGGAACCCTGATACTCTCAATAGAGGAGTCAAAAACAGAGCCAACATGCAGACAAAGGGTCAAGTGTCTTGTATTTTCAATTTGGGAAGCTTGATAGAACAATTGGCCACTTCCTTCGTGATGTCAACACCCAGGGGACTCCTGTTGAAAAATCAGTATAATTTGTAAATGCTATTGAAATTACTCTTCCCGTCCCTCACTGGAAAAAAAATTTACAAATAAATTACATCTCTAGATTCTAGGCCTCCCTTAATTTCCAATCACATACCAAGATGAGAACTCGGATATTTCAACATGAACACATAAAACTCCAGCTTTCTCCCACCACCCTTCAGTGATCAGATGTGTACGAAAAAAAAATACAAACTAAACACAAAAGACCAGTAATGGTATCCTTTGAAGGCCCAAAAGCCTATAATTTAGTTATTTCAAGGTAGATGCTCAGCTAGTACTGGAATTGGATCTATTTTCATTAGATGTCACTTATGAGGTAAAAGATCCACTCCACCAAATTCAAAACAAAGACAAGACAAATATGAAATGTTATTCTTAAGCTTATTTCAAAACATTTTAAAATGATATTATACAATGCCCCTTTAAAGTTACTTTGATGAGACAACGCTAGTGGTGTTAACATCATAGATGAAAAAAGCAACTTGGGTCACTTATAATAAGGGGGAAAAATTAAGAGAGAAATTATTAACTCATTCGCTATGCATTATTTTCGGCTTGTGGACGAAATGAGATGATGACTAGTGCGCAGTTCACAGGTCTTTGGGGCCAAAAATTCAAATAAATATCAACATATTATATACCAACATTTTCAGTATGGTTTGTACAATACATATCGTCCCTGTAAGTTTCTAAACGCGTAAGTCCGTTGAGGCAAATTTTACAGGAGAGACAAAAAACGTAATAAATAGTAAAAACAGAATGCAAATGTACTGCTCTTTCTACATCTTGTAAAGAATACTTCTATGTATACAACTGTCAATGTGAAAATTCTTTTGTTTTTGAAAATTAATCATAAAACAGACTTACGTGTTTAGAGACTCCAAATTTGAAACATTTAAACGCGTAAATCGAACCCGTTGACTTGCGTAATAAATTGGAGCAGAAAGTTTGTAAGCTCTACTCGCGTAAGTCTGCGGCAGGTGGCCGTGGTTAGCCATACGCGTTTAGAGCTTTCATTATTTTAACATGTGGCTTGTGAATCATTGACTTACTTGTTTACAGTACGAATCTTTCAGTTTATTTATTAGAAAAACTATGCAAAGGACTTTGAAGAAATAAGGCAGATTGGTTTCATAGATTCTAGGTGCAATTAACTTTGCAAGTAATATTGATTGATCGAATTAATTGGTATATTAACTATACATCTGGTTGATATTATTCTTATTTCCCAGTCCTTTCACACTTACAACACCAATCGACTGTAGGTCTATTATAAGTAAGAGGATTATGACGAAAGACAACAGAAGAAAACCTTTAGAATGACAAAGTGTAGCTTGTGTGCGAAGTAGCAAAGGAGCAGCCTTCCAATCACCCAACAAATTACGAAAAGGAGCCAGTTCATTCTTTCAAGAACATTTTCAACTGTATTAAAGTAATGCTGTAACTGTAACACATGATATAATATAACAGAACATTTTACTTAATCAAAAACACATCAATTCAATATCACCGAGTAGAAATTTAAAATGATTCCATATTATATCATTCAACCTCCCCCAAAAGAAAAAATCCCTAAGAAGACTTATTCAAGTTCATGATCCAGAACTATATAAAATAAAGAACTGTCTGAAAAAACAATTATCTAACCAGTATTCGTAGCGGTGAGAAGGAAAAGGTGGTGCTGGATTGGACATGTCCTTAGAATGGACCCAAATGTCACTCCCAGGATAGCCAGAGGAACAAAAAAGGAGGCCACCCGCCGGAGACCCGGCGAAGGAGCATTGAACAGGAGATAAAGTCGAAGGGATGGTCATGGGGACAGGTCAAGAGATTGACCTTAGACAGGGAGAGATAGCGTTCCACCGTATCAGCCTTATGGGCTGCGCAAGCACCCTCAAGATAACAAGAAGAAAATGTATATAATAATTGTATACAAAATTGATTGCTTTGATAAAGTGTATTGTTGAGGACATTCCGATTCAGTCTTGTTTCAACTTGTTATAAAATGCCCAACATTCCGATGATATTACTGATTTTAGTGCTTGCAAATGTTTGAATTTGACATTTGAGATGATCCTGTTGGCATAAAACAGCTTCTTGGGAGTGGCAATCAGTGCTGTAGACTGATTTCTTTTCTCTGGAAACTGACCATTTGTCCCCGAATCCAAGGTTATAGAGTATTTTTCTAGCAAGCAGGTATTTCAGAGCCCTGATGTCAGTAACTGTAGCATCCCCAGCTTTCTATCATGGACGGATGCAACTAAGGGTGTTCACACCATCAGAATTTGAAAAGAATGTGTGAGTCAAATACTTCACAGAATGCGAAAATGGCTTTCTTCGGGCTTCTTCAATTAATCGAACATAGTCGATAGGAAGGAACATCTTCTTATTCTTGATTCGTCTTTCGATAACGCGGTGGACGTTATCCACCTCCATCCTCGTGTGGCCCCTCTCAAGTATTTTCTGCTTTACTTCCTTGTCATGCATCACGGAGAACATGGAAAGAGCAGTGGCTAATGTTTTGTTTCTGTTCTGAAAAGCACATCCATCGGAATAGATGATGTACCTATCAAAAGACAGATCACTTTCCAGGTAATCCACAATGCATGAAGCAAATTCGTGAGCAGACAAGCCCCCTTCCGCCTCGTGCCAGACATAGCATTGGACACCATGTGACTATAAATCAAATATTGTGAAGTTATGGACACAGAGTCTGGTCCTATAGTATAATGCGGATGCTTTCAGCATGGGGCAAAGCAAAACTGACTGTAGATCCACAGTAATGACCTTTGTCATGTCCTTATTTTGGACCATTTCCTCATCTGCTGCCATCTCTTGCTGTACCCTTTCTTTCTTTTGCCCACGAGCCAGATATGTCTTCATCGACATTGCCTTCATCAGAGATCATACTGATCTTTGCGCGGTTTGAAAAGAGAAAGATTCATTTTCTGTAATTCATCGGCAAAAATTGGACGAGAAAGAGCCTCCATCTTCTTTTCTTTACATTTTGTTTCATAGAGACGAAATAGATCGGTCCTGCAATGGAAAACTTCCTCTAAATATAGCCTGGAGCTTTTCTTTCGGCAATAGTGAGACTCCGTTTTAGGCAGACTTTCAAGGAAGGGTCGCAGATGTAATCGCGCATCAGAGTCAGATGCTAGTCTCCGACAAGACTCATTCCCTGTTGATAAGCCATCACCTGGTCCTCCGCGATGGTGTCTCACATACCGTACCATTCCTTGAGTCCTATTGTAGACCAAAACGTCTGACAGCAGACCCTGAATCTGCATCTACTGGTTTTCAGAAAATACTGCAGGGACGTAGTCCTACAAGATGCTGCAGACGCTGCTTTTTTCTGTTTGGCTGGCACCTTGCATACATGTCTAGGCAAAAATACACCATTCTCTGGCCAGGGCGGCGACAATAGGAAATAAAATATTTCCTACCTCTCTTCTTCTGTGATATTCGAACACTGATTACACTTGACCTTGCAAGAGCATCTTTCCTCGAAGTTCTTCTATCCTTTTCAACGTTCTCAAACCCTGTATCGACTTCCTTTATAAGATTGCCCTGCTTCACGTTTCTTGAGTTCACAAATCTCTCCCAGTTTTCTCTTCCAAGCTTTCTCTTCTTTCCATTGATTATTCTCACATTATCGCTGTTGTTTCCATCCCCACATGATCGATCAACAAGAGCCTCACCTCTATCAACACATATATTGGAATCAACATGTTCGCCTCTCTGGTCAGTGACAGTCTAATCCAAATCTTCATCATACATGTTGAAATCAATAATTTCACCAATAGGATCAGTGCCATTTAACAACTCAAAAGCTTCAATCCTACCATCATACATATTGGAATAAAAAAACTTAATCTCCACCGTCATATCCATTCGCATTATGATTAAAAACATTTTTTCTGCTGCAATCAGCATTCACAAAAAGAGACCCATATCTCCCATCACACACCTTCACATCATGAGCCTTATCTCTAGCATCACATATTTTCACACCAAAAACCATTTCTCCACCATCATTTACATTCACATCTGTTTCTCCATTACCGTGTATAGACATACTCAAATCAAGAACATTCTGAAAATGACTAGATCTATCGTCTCGCTGGTCAGCAGCAGTTTCAGTGACTACTTTCTTCCCCATAGCCTCATTGTGATCAAAATACACTAAATCACTGCTATTCACTGACATGTCTACAAATGAGTCAATGATATATCCCAAAAATTGTCTAGTGGTTCATACAGAGAAGACTCGTGGGCATGTCCCTCTGAGGAGTGAGGACGGGCATTTCCCTTAGAGAGGTGCTGGGTATGTCCCCTGGACTGTGGTCATGGAGGCTTCACTGCTACCTTTTTAGACAGCTGTAACAGTTTGTGAAAAGCGGTTCTTGACTGAAATGTAAATAATAATATAAGTTATTAAATGTATAATAAAGTATGCTTCTTCTAAAGTAAAAGTAAATTTGAATGTTTCAAAAAATAATCCTCATTTTCAATGGCGTTTGACTTTGCGAAACATTTATCTTATAGCAGGTTGAAATATAATAATGATCAATCCACATTGCCGAGATACAGCTATGACTAATTAAAACCCAACAATTAATCAACATTGATGAGATCTAAACCTGTGACTAACAATACATAATAATTAATCTATATTATCGAGATCTAAACGGTGTCAATGGGCTTAATCTTTCACATGAAAACTAAACGCGTAAGTCTTGACAATCTCCTTGCAAGTCACCATGAAGCTTACATAATTATGGGCGACTTTGTAAGCTCTAAACGCTGATGTCACAATGTATCACACAAAACAAAGATTTATTTAAATAAACACATAATAATTTCGAAAAGTATCTTACATACACATCTTAATATGAGGGAAGAAATGGTATAACTCACCTCTAGGCTGTTACTTGAACCAAAAATGAAACAAAATTATTGTTTTAAGCGAAGGTGCTGGGCTGGGACTTCTGCGTTTAGAGTTTCAAATCAAGGTGAAATCCTGTTACATGCGTTTAGAATCCGGGACAAAAAAGTGCAATTTTCCTTTGTTTAAAGAGTGACTTTAATATTTATAGAGGAGGTGGGGGAAACCTATTGGAGTGAAATAAAACCAAAATATTATTTTCCAAAATTCCGGACTTACGCGTTTAGAGACTTACAGGGACGATATGTATTATTTTTTTGTGTATTTTTCAACTTTGGTTCCTGTAAGAGGCGATTATGCAACACAATTGTGATTGGATGCGGATAAAATTGGAAAATATAAAATTTATAATCTCAGGTGAAACTAAAAAAATATGTTTGCACATAGTCAAATGATACATCAAAATAACCATAACTGTATATAGAACAGGAAAATATTGAAAAATGTGCAGTTATTTACATACAATCCATAATATTTGTACATTTGGATCATAACATCCGATATTGAAAAAAATAAAAATGTATTTATAATTTTGAAAAAAGAATCACAAACAGAAAAAAATACGCGTATCTTATATTGAATTATTCAGAATTGCATTTGGAATTAACCTATACATGTCTTGAGTGGTACTTTTTGAGTAATTTCACCAAAAAGTGTGATTTTGGGGAGAAAAATATATCTTGACTATTTAGATCTAGGCCTAGATCTAGCACTAAAAAATATTGATTTCTCCATTACAGTGCACCGGCAATTTGCGTCCAATAGTATCTTATCAATATTATAAAGAAGAGTGCTACATTTCTTTAGTGAGCAAAATAATGATACATTTTGTTGTGTAAAAGTACTAAGGCTGGTGTCCGGGCTATAATTTGGGCTTCGCGATAAAACAAAGTCGAATAAACTACGAAATCGTGTTTCAAAACTGAATCAAAACTTCCGATTTTCGGTGGAAACGCTTGACCCGGAAGTCAACTTTATATTATGACCTTTATTTTAACATGAATATGTGGATTGGAATAAAAACCAAGCTAAAATTGAACGTTGGTTCTCGAGCCGCCGGGGGCGGCTTAGCGTACTGACGGCACTTTAGCCGCGCCGCCCCCCACGGCTCGGCGTAGCGAATGAGTTAATGAAACAAAACAAAGTTATTATTTTCTACAATTGGAACTAATTCAACTATGCCGGACAAAGTAAGAATGAATGAACATCACCTGGCCCGAACATCCACTGTACTAGGATCTTGAGAGAAATCCCTGCCACTCAAAAGTTTTTCCATGCCATTCCTGAGGACAGCCAGAAAACCTTTATGACAAATGAAGATAAGCAACAGAGAATTCGAAAAAGTATAATTTTAGTAGGGTATCAAAGGAAAACTTTATCACCAAAAGATGAATTCTAAACACCTTACACAATAGAAAAATAATTAGTTGAACATATGTAACTGTCTATAACTTGATCTATAGGGGTATGCATCAATTTTACAATGAAAGACCACTTCAGGCTAACCAACTTTTTTCAATATACAATCAGGAATAATTAACCTAATAACTTCAGATAATATCAACGAAATACCATCAGATAATTATGTGATAACAAACAAAACAACATCAAATGGGACTGGTGTTGGTGTAGTGTGTGTGGCAAGGTTAGTCACAATGAAATAAAGTTACATGGAGGGTGAGTTGAAAATGAATGAGGAAAATACTCACGAACAACATATTTAGATTACTTATACAGTGTTCGATACGCAGTCATTGTGATGAGGATGATCTACACTAGATCAACAGCTACATAACAATCACTCTCCAGGTGGTTTGTTTTGATGTGTGTACTTTTATGATAATCTATTGCACCAGGAAGATTTACTCTATCAAAAACCTTAACCTAGATCTACTTGTATTTAAAACTAGTGTTCCAGGGTAATTCTTAAGCAAAACTATTCACGCTCAAACACAAATTCAAACTGCCGGCATTTTAAATGATTGTTAAAAAATGCGCTATAAATAGAAGTGTGGCGGGTCATAGATGATTGTCAAGGAAATCATGGGCTTCTCATAAGTGGATGTCCATTTCACTGAAACAAATGGAAATAGCCAACAAAGACCAGAACAGAAATTTGAAACTTGGCTTGCCAAAGTGGTGGAGGCTAAAATATCTTTTCAAATCTCCACTCGTTGAATCCAGGACAGCCCTGAGAAATTCAAGACAGTTGTCAAACCTGACACACTAAACGCACTGCTCAGTCAATGGATGACACTATGCTACCTTAGAATTGCAAAGTTTTGTTTGACATTTTTGGCCGTTTTGAGTTACTATGACCATGAGATCAGAAGCCAAATGTTCTATTTGCTCTATCAAAATCGTAAGATGATTCAGAGTCGTTATCAAGATATTAAAACAATTACATTCAAAAAGCTTGACAGTTTGCAAAACTCAAAATTTGTCCTGTCAAATTTCTCATTACTAGGTACTGAGCAGATAGAACTTTGTAATTCTAAGGTAGCGACTAAGCAAAAACTCTACCTCAACTAACATGCACTACAACAATCCTCATATCTGCGAGAAATAAAATGAATAATTCTCAGTTAAAGATGTATCTCCTTGAGTACATTCTGATACACAAAACAAAGTGCAGACCTACCATGCAATCATTATGCCATTGTCTGTGCACAGTTTGACTGGAGGGCACACCATCTGACAATTGTAAGCAGCACACACTTGCTCCAGACTGGACCTGATGTAAGCATTACTGGCAACACCTCCAGACACAACCTGTTATCAAAAGGAAGAGTCATAAACAGTCAAAACTCCTCTAACAACCGCCATTCAAAGACAATTCCCTGAACAAATGACCACTTCCCACTCTGTATTTAAAAAAAATAATATTGGCACGTGTCACGATACGGTGAACTCAGTCGCTAGTTAATTTTTGGGCATGTAGAATTATTGGTATCACCTTAAAGCTTGTTCATTTGTTTTGCTTTAGAAGAAAAAAATACCCATCTACCTTGAATATAAGTTGGGATACTTGCCACTGAAGGAGGTGGGGGTGCCTGGTGTCAGAGGTAAAATTAGCGAGAAAATGGCTGTCAAAGTTGAGCTACTTTCAAAGCTTGAGTGTCCTTAGAAACTATAAATTTACTTTTTTTGTGTGCATTGATCAACATTTTTCAGTAAAATCCACACACAATGTGTTTTTATACAGACATAAAAGGTGTTAAACCACAACAAAAATAAAATTGAAAAAAAATTGCCCAATGTCCAGAAAAATGCCAGTTTCTTTGATTTCATTATTTTGATGAGAGCCTGATTTCACCATGATGCCTGACAAAATTCCTAGCTTTCCACCTGTCTCCGACAATCACTTTTCTTCTCGACAGTGGGTGGCTGTCTAGGAACATTTCAACTGCACTGAAATTAACATACAGGAGTACGAATTAACTGTCAATAATCTCATATAAATTGAAAAAACATTTAAACAGAAAGCTGGCACTACTGCAAGGTGGAAAAAGAAAAAAAAAAGCATTCTGAGGAAATAGTCATAGTGCTGGTGGATGCCCCCGTTCAAAAGTCTAGAGAGATCGGTCCTATACTGTACATGGTAGATTGGTATTTTTCAGCCTGTTGCAGAAACAGAACTGTTGTTTAGGAGACTAAAATTGTAACTTATGAGGTAAGTCTCCTACTACATGTTCAGAACAAAAAACTTTATCTTTGGGAATTTGGATGAAGGCCATCTGCAAAGCAATCAAGCTCAATATTAACTGAGTGAACTGTGGGCTCTCTCTATTCATACATATGGGATGTCTTGCATCTAAAAGGAGGGCATCTTAAAAATGAGATCTACACAGATAAAGGCATTGTAGGTGTTTAGGTGTAAAGCTCTTGAAACAAAAACTAATTAGCAATCTAACAAGGTGAACCTACAAATTGACATTTATCTCCAACAAAACAGCAGAGAGAGTCTCAAAATCTGTCCAAGCAAGCTATATTAAGAAGCACCCGCGTCAAGATTTTAACTCAGGTCAAAAGCAGCATTGTCAAGTGTCTTCACAAATAGACAGGAAATCTCCTTAACTTTGCAACTGGGTAAGATACTTCTAGCAACCAATGAAGCCAGTGGCACTCACCAAAGTTTTGCTCTTTCCTAGAAGCTCATTCATTTCAGAGTATATAAAAGCTCTTTGAAGTCTCCTTGCCATGTGGTATGTGACATTATACTGGAACCAGGAACAGATGTCAGCTGCATTGGGGAGGACCTCACTCTCTGGCCAGCCTGTTGCATCATGCAAGTACAATAATGGGAAAGTTCACAATATAAATTTGCCACAGTCAGTACTGTTCACCTCAAACCCAAAATACATATATGCAATAGTCTCCGCCTAAGATCCTGGTGCTTGGCATTAAGGGAAGAATTCATAATGACCCATATCCAGGCCCACAACCGGTAAAATGGTCTCCCTTCATTCTATAATGAACTGGTGAGACCTCTGGGTGGGTTTATAACATATGGAGAGCAAAGAGTGGTCAACCTTGATGACCAATCACAGTGGCATGAGTCATGCCGTTCTCACTTATTATCTTATTGTGAGTATCAAGATCTACACTTACACAGTTGCCCCTTCCCTTTACTTGCCCAAAATGTATAGCTTTCCATCTCTGACTGAGTTCCCCCCATCTTTGTCATTATGCACCATAACCCTGTGACCACACTAATTAAAATTCAGTCCGTCAAGCAAATACAGGAGTAGAGCAAGGAGGTTATTTGTTCTAAGGTCCTTGGAGTAGCAACAACTGCTGCAATTGTCAGGGAAGAGTTCACAGTTCAATGTGATCCCACCTGGAGCAAACTTGTCGGCCCTTTCCACCCAGCGTGTGATGTAACTTCAGGTGTCCCCCTTCATCGAGACTTTCAATACACATGTTATCACACTCACGAGAGTTGTTGAACTGTAACGCAACACGTAGCTCAATGATTGCAAATTTTCACTCTTGGCTGATTGACTGTGCCTGCCCAGGTGTTTGTTCAGAAAATTATGAACTGAAATGCAGGATTTTAGCCAAAAGCAGACCTCCAGAGCAGGACCTTAGGGGTGATTTCTGTACAGTAAAAATTCTGTCGTCTTAAAACAGCGGGATCTTAGGTGCACCGGGATCGAAAGCCGTGGGACCTTGGGTGAATACTACAGAACTTATTACACTCATAGTTCCTAAAGAAATTTTATAAGAAGGGAGGGGAATGTTTAAGATAAAGTCATCAGTGGACTTTTTCAAAGAAGCGTTCAGTGCCTCATGCCTTCAAATACAATTTATACCAAACAACACTATTCTACTATTTGTACTAGTAGTAGAACCATCATAAATAATTGTAAGGCACTAAAACCAAAGATAGTTATATGATTTCAGAACTGCACTATAATATTGATGTATATTCTGTCAAAATGAAGTTTGTTTCAGTTTCAGGTTACTTCAAAAGGTGAAAATTTGCTTAAACCTAAGACAATATTAGAATTTTGAGGATGTCAAAGCAAAATTGTTTATCTAGTATATTCAAACATAAAATGTATTATTTATGACACAGTCTTGTTCAGAACAGAACTTTTTTTACTGCATGTTTAGACAAAACATGGGCTGAGCAAACAATGTCTTCTCCACGGCATCACTTTTCGCCCGATTCTGTTACTTTTAGTTCGCGTGACTCAGCAGCCCGCCGGAGCTCCCCGGCTCGGGGTCACGTGGTTAATGAGCCATGAGGCGACTTTGCCGGTGTCGGTCGGGAAGTTCGCATTTTTGACTATGTTTAAAACGATATAACTTCTTCCCCATCCCACACAGCAAACCATTACGCGAATGTACTAAAAGCTCAATGTCTTGAGATTTATTCTGCGTTAGAATGGTTAGTTTCTGTGTCTTAGTTTTTGTTCTAGACAAGTGTTTGTAGAG